TTTTTTACATTAACAGAATATCGACAAAGTTTTGCGCACATTTGCAATGGAAACACAGCTAGTGTATTACGTCTCTTTTAAAGCGATACTTCACAATGACAGTGTTAAAAATAAATAGAATATTTTMATTTATTAGTGAAACAGTATTGGTTTTATGTGTTAAGACGGAGTTGGAGAGTCTTGTTTTGGTTTTATCTTTTAGTTTTGGTTTGTATCGTCACTGCCAGCCTGGTTCTTTAAATCAACTTCCTGTCCCTAAAGTCTGACTGGTGTCCCTGCTCTGTCTCCATATTTGCCTTGCTCACCTGTAAGTGGTCAGATTGCTCCAACATTTGGGGTTTTCTGTTTGTAACGAGCAGAAGAGGACTAAAAGCTCCGCAGAGCTCTCTGCATGCTGAATGATTTATCGAGCTGCTTGGCACAGACTCACACTTCAGTGTTGGAGGGTTGTTGGGTTTGTTAGTGGTTTTGGGTAATGTGTGCACTGGAATTATGATGTGTGTGTCTTACCTCCTGCTGTGACTCTAATCAGCGCAGATAAGCAGAAGTGCTGATGTTTCATCAGATCTGATGATCTCACCATCTGTCTGCTGAATCATTTATTCGACCTCCGAGTGTCGCTCTTTAACTTTTACTGCTTTTATCACATCTTTGTTTGGAGTTTGAAGCATCTGGTGTCAGGATTGATGCACTGACTAACAAGCTTTCAGCATCTGAACTGACTTTTTCTCTTCATTAATCAAGAAAAGTGATTACTTTTTTCTGTATGAGGAAGAGACCGACACAAAAACTTTATTGTTCACCTTTATTTTTAACATATGACACACAGGAGAGGGTGTGAACCTGCAGAAAAGCATGGCTGATGTTTAATTTGGCTGTTCATTTTGCAGGGAGCATAAAAGGAGCTACGATAGTGGACGCTCTGGATACCTTGTACATCATGGAAATGTTTGACGAGTTTGACGCCGCCACAGAGTGGGTAGAGAAGAATCTGGACTTTAATGTGGTAAGTGTGCGTGTTTGTGTTCTCGCAGTCATTTACTGGCCGCGCTGAAAGATTTGAAGACTTGGCTCTCCCCCAGAAGCCACAACTCAGGCAGTAAACACTGAAACACAGAACTCTGTAGGACTGAGCGTCTTATCCAGACAAACGACTATTTGGCACTTTCACATGGACCAAAAAAAAAAGCTTTCAGTTCTCCAAAAACACTGAAAGCTACAGAAATCCTCTTTTCCATTTTAACAAAAAGGCTCTCTTTGTTAAGAACACATGTTTTTACTCAGGACAAGACAGCTGTTTATAGAAAACCACACTGCTGTCCTGTTTATTCACTGTGAGGTGAGCACCAGTCGGCTAAAGCACAAATCTGATAATTGCAGACATAAATATTTTGTTTGAGCTTTAACGGTCTTTCTAAGTTTTATAATTCATAAGCAGATTTGTGCTTTCTAAAATTAAAATGCAGTACTGCTAATAACTAATTATCTACCAGTCATCATTATGTTGAACAGCAGAAGGTATGACTGTCAATGAATCACAACATGTGATCTATCCAACAGCACCCCTCCCAGATAAACACTCTTATTGTGAAGGTATACATCCTGCTGACTGTTGCTTTGGGTCACGGTTCTCATTTCCCACAATGCTTTGTGTCTGCTTACGGAGCAGGAAGGCAATAGCAAAAACAGTTAACGTTTGTAATCCGTACTAAAATTTTGTATGTATTGATTTATTTTTACAATTGGCTCCTTCAAAAAAAAAAGTTTAAACGCTGGAGCTCAATACTTGATGTAATTGTTCGAAGCAACGGGGTTAGAGACTCAGAAATGATTTAAAGATGTTATGCTGATGAAGACTGACATCTAGTGGTCAACTGGAGCAGCTACATGGAAAACTTTAAAATCCAAGCTTTTATTTTGAAGGGAAGATATTTTCCTGTACTCCGTGCTTTTGTTTCGTCACAAATCAAATCCATCATGTACCCAGAATGCATCGCTTCAGTTTTACAATAAACAGTTTTAAAATTACTTTATTGATGCTTCTTTAATGAAAAATCTACAACAAACAAAAGAAAAAGACAAAGAAGCAGCTGAACTAGCAATCCTCAACAACTTTTTAATTTTTACACCAGGAGCTAAAGGTCTGTTTCAGGAAATCAGATCCCCAGCAATCAGCAGTTGTAGGATCAAGTTGTAAAAGGGTTCATACACCACTAGTTGGCAGTGTTGTGCATATATTGTACATGAATTGTTGTCAGCTAGTAAATGTCAAATTCAACTTGCGCTTTAAAATTAGCTTCTGCTAGTTTTCTATGGTATAAGTGCTTTTGAAGTTGTGGAGTTAATCTTTGGATTAGCGCTGCCCACCACTGACTTCATTTCCCACGAAAACACTATATGAGTGCTTCATGTTGAAACAGTTTGGTGAGTAGCTAAAAAAGCTGAAACTAGCCCAAATATATATATAGCAATAATAATATATAGCTAAAAAAGAGTAACTGAAATTTGCACAAAGACACAAAAAGAGCATGTTTGCTAAATTGCAACAAACTGCACAGTGCAAAGTTGAAATTATCACAAAAAAGTGACTTTTGCTGAAAGAAGTTCGAATTAGCTAAAAAGTAGCTAAAACACAAAAAGAAACAGCTGAAAAAATGGCAAATGACGGAAGAGACTGAACTTATATAGCTTTTTATCAAGCCCCATGGGGATCTCACTCACATTCACACACTGATGGTCGTAAGCTACATTGTAGCCACAGCTACCCTGGGGAACAATGATAGAGGCGGGGCTTCCATACACCGGCGCCACCGGACCCTCTGACCACCATCAGTAGGAAAAGTGGGTGAAGTGTCTGAAATGACTGGAATGGGGGATCGAACCGGCAACCCTCCAGTTACAAGACGACWCCCCTAACCACTCCTCCACAGCCTAAATAATAAAGAGTGATTAGGTTAAAAAAAAAAGGTGAAAAGAAGGTTTATAAACATTTTCAAGGGTTTTACAGATGAAGACAGCTCTCTTCATTTACAACGAGAAAAAATGGTAGAAAAGATTAAATGATTCAAAAAGCATAAAGTGCCAAAAGTTATAGCTGTAAGGTCCTGTAGGCAGAAGCTTTGTCCTCGGGGCAGGAGGGGGATTCCCAGGGTCAGGTGCTGTGTCTGATGTGCTATGACTTTTGGTATTTCAGCTATTTATACATTTTCAGCTGTTTCACTTTTTCGGCCACTTTTTTCCCATTGAAAACGAATGGAGCTGTTTTCAACATCCTTAAAACCCTTCAAAATAAATCTTTACAAAACCTTACACCTTTTGTTTTGGTTCTGCTCTCTTTCACTTTCTTGTGCTAATTTTAGCTACTTTTTGCTAATTGTAGCTTTTTTTCTATTTCAGCTAAAATTCTGCTTCTTTCTGCTATTCTTCTGCCTTTTCTTACTTTTTTGTACTTTTTTCTTCTACTTTGTGCTATTTGTGCTTCTTACATATGCTCTTTTCTATATTCAGCAATTTTCTGCAATTTTAGCTAAATTTCAGCTGTTATTAGCTAAAATTATCTATTTTAAGCTAAATACACAGTTTTTGTAGCTATTACAACTTAATTCTGCTGAATTCAGCAAACCTTCTCCTTATGCTTCCTTATGCTAATTAAAGAATTTCCAGCTGCATTTTAGCTGTTTTACAGAAAATTTCAGCTGTTTTGGCCATTTTACTACAAAAGAACATTTTTTGTACTTTTATGCATTTTCTTCTGCTAATTAATTTTTTACACAACTTTCACTGTGTGGGTATTAATTACAACTTGTGGCTGCTACCTTTAGCTTATTTTTATGCTAATTTGAGCTTTTTAAATTCTTTTTCAGCTTTAGATCAGCTTCTTTCTGCTGCTCTTCTGATGTTTTCTACTTTCTGTTTTTTTCTGCTAATTTGTGCTCGTTCTTACAGATGTTTTCAGCTACTGTATATTCAGCTATTTTAGCTTTTAGCTGTTTGCTGTTGTTTTCCACTAGATTTGTGCTCCTTTTTACTGTTTTTTAGCAAAGTAAGTTTTATTTTTTGGCTTTTAGCTTTTCAAAGTAATCTCACATTAACACTTTTGCTATTAAATGTTTTCAGCTCTATTTCAGCAGTTTTCAGCCTAAGTTTTCACAGGAAATGCAATTTCTCTAGTTTATTTTATTTTATTATTTTTATGATAAAAAAAGAATTTTTTTTTTTTTAATGAACATTTCTACAAGATTTATCTGTTTAAATGTCTGCTCACTCCTTTTCCGTTAGCTTCACAGTACAGTCAGTTTATTTTAAGGACACACACAGATGAACAGACAAGACATTTTGACACAAAAGGCCATTTCCTATTTTATTTTTTCCACAATTTTGCAAATGAAAAAGTGGATAAAAAATCAATATAAAGTCAAATAACAGATTTCTTTAGGTGCGCGCTCTGCGTACAGATTTTCAGCTTTAGGCGCCACTGTTTGGAGGTAAACCAGAACTGAATTTGCTTAATTTTTTTTCTCGTTTTGGACTAATGAGCTGAATAACGCATGCTCGTGAAGATAACGTACGTCAGTTCTCTACACGAACAATTTGCTCCTTTCCTTTGATGTTTGCCTCATTACGAGTAAGAGCTTCTCATTAACCAGAGGCAGGAAACATTTTGCTTTTTTTTTTCCTTCAAACAGGACTTTGTCTCTCCATCAGTTCAACATGCTGCCAGAGCTCAAAATAATAATAAAGACAAAACTGAGATCAGACAAATCTAGTGAAAACATTCATTTAGATGACCAAAATGTATTTTCAGGTCTGCTTTTCTATTTTATCTTTATCCATCCATCCATCCATCCATCCATCCATCCATCCATCCATCCAT